TATATAGATCTATATATATATATATATATCTATGTTCCATGTTAGTGCTTAAATCTAATTTATTATATATTAAAAAATCAACAAAAACAAATTTGATAAACTATACCCTCCTATAAATACTAATACGAACTAAAAACATTAAAAAGAACATACACAAAAACTGTACTACTTGCTGTTATACATACATATGTTATATGTGTGTCTATATATGTAGCGATCGAGAAATTTAAAGTCTAACTTATGCTCGTTTACTTTATATTTATATAAATGTTTAACTGTACTACGTGTATGTGTTATACAAGAATTTGCAATTTGCTCAATGCGGCATTAGTTCATAAGTAGCACAGTGCTAACTGTTATACAGACACACACATAGACATATATACACACACATACACACATGTTTATGCTGTTAAAATAAAAAGAAAACTGTTATACGCTCTATTATACTTTATATAATTAGGCAAATAAAAAAAAACGCTTACAAAATGAATTATGCAAACATGCCACGCCCCCACCACAGCCCTCCAATAACTGATTCATGTAGATGTATATATATATGTATGTGAAAAGTTGCTTAGCTGTTATACGAATGGTTATAACAGCTATATTGCCTCGATGTGCGCTTCTAAATAATTCAAGCAATATATATGTATATATAAATATGTAAATCAAATACTTTATAAATTTAGTTATACTACTATAATATTACCAGATATATGTACATATATATATGTATATATCGAATGCATATACAACGCGTATATTTTTGTATGCAGAGTTAATAATTATTGTTTTAAAATACATTTGATTTTGATCAAAACCCTACACAGCAAATGGTTTTTCTTAAACGGGTTGGACTATAGAAATATATACATATATATATATGTATTCTTATATACATATTTCTGGAGTATAGGCACCTCTATTTCAAAATGGATTAATGCTCGCCAGGAACAGCCTTTCCAAGTTCTAAGTTCCTTAGGTATTTGAAGTCTATATGGAAGTTCTGAATATACTCTATTAGCTGAGTCTAGAAGCTAACAGCATTACAAAGCATTCATAAAACTTGAAAGGACTTTTTTGATACAAATACATAAATATCTATTAGATATTATTCAAAAGTTTATACAGGCAGAACTACGAATGTCGACTGAGCGAATGCAGAAAATCCCATAGATATAATTACCATGGAACATAGAAATGGAGCTTTTTACGGTTTTCCGTGTTCCGGTTAAACTTCTTCCGCTTGTTAATAGAGCGAAATTGAGAGATCTGAGAACTGGCGTATAACAGTATAATAGTTAATTGCTAATAAATTGATTTAGCTCTGCCGGTTGAGTGTTTCAAGTGCAATTAGTTCACTCGCCTGCACTACGGCCGTAATGCTACGGGATGGGAAGTTGTGGGAATGGGGATGCGGAACAGGCGGGCTCTGTGCTTTTTCTTTTTTCGTTTTTTTCCTTCATTGGCATTGTTGCTTCCAGGAAGCCTCGCAGCCTAACAATGTTGGATACACACAAAATAAAGGGCAATACGACAGGTTGTATCCATCGTGGAATTTGTCCCAGACCATGGTCGGAAGACGGATCGATATTAGTGTATGTATACATGCATATACATACACACATATATATGTATGTATGTATTTAGTTGGCCGGGCCAACAGCCCAGGACAATTATTATACATGCATACAAAACATTAGAAGTAGGAGGCGTGGCATATATACACATATATACATACGTACATACAGTTACGTACATGCGCAATGCAAACGTTTCCTGGTCATAAAATGGAACGCACACACACACTCAACCATGCTCGCGCCTTACATACATATGCATGTAAAATGTATGCTAGAAATTCGTACATAAATATACATACATACATATTATATGCAGTGCTGTCATAATTTTTCGAGCAAATAGAGCCAGATTGGCAAAAAAAAGAAGCTAAAAGAAGCTAAATTCARGAAAAAATAAGCCAAAATAAAAGCTGGGTTTAAAAAACACTATTTTTTTAATTAAATTCATTTATGATTATTCATTTGTTTTTAATTGTTTGATTCCTTCNGCATAATTTTGTTTGGCGGAGAGTACCTAGGTTGTTGATGAGAGCAATTAATGTGTGATTTGCCACATAGAGGAAAAGTGCTGTTGGTTGTTGCTGTGGTTTTTGTTGGAGTTTGCCCAAAATCAATTTTTTCTTTCTGTGCCCATCCAATTCGTGCACGTTAGTGTTTTTTTGTTGACACACGAGACCTGTTGCTCATACCACGAAATGATTTCTATAGATTGTATGATATAAAATCATGTATCGATACTTGTATTCATGATTTTTTGTGTTGACAGCGATAAGAACAAAATAAATCAAAATAAGTAAATGAAAATTAAATAAAGCTAAAATAGAGCTAAATTAATTTTTTTAAAGCCAGAATTCCCGCAACCCGCCGTTTTCAAAWTTTTCCCGCATTGGGACTTCAAATAAAGCCAGATCTGACGGGAAAAAAGCTAAAATGACACCCCTGATTATATGGGCTGAAGCTTAACAGCGCTGCGCTGCTGGCCGTTCTTGGCAGCGCTGCAACGTTGCCATTTTTCAAGCTGCTGCTTAACAGCTGCTGTTAAGTCAGCTGTTCGCTGACGAAATCAGCTGCTTGCGCTAATTAGCTACAGTTTTTCTCGCACATACACACACGCACAGACGCATGCTGTAGACATTGCTTTCTAGCATAACGGTTTAAAAATGCGTAATGTAGTCACTATGCTATACGTCATTCGGTGCAGCAGTAGCAACTGCAGCTGCGCCACTGTCAATGCAATTTACTGCAATCATTAACAGGCTCTGCCGCTGCAATTCCGAGCGCCACTGACGTGACGTAGCAGCGACGTCGGCAGAGACAACGACGCGCCGTTACGTATTCAAGGTCTACATTTGTGTATCGATACACGAACGTTTGTATGTATGTAGCATGTGATTCTGCCACAATTTCGTATGTATACGCTTGCCCATGTACATTTACATATGTATGTATGTATACATTCATGGATATATGTATATATATATTTCTAAATAAATATGTATATATGTACATACATACATACATATATGTATGTGCCTGTACAAATGGTATACATACACGCAACGCTAGTGTACTGGAGCAATGGTCGCTGCTCTCGTTTCAACCCCCAACACGAAACGCGCCCCTTTTGCACGACATGCCCATTGCCATGCCCCGTCGTCACAGCGTCGTCAGCGCCATGCTTTGCGTTTTGCTTTTGCTTATGACGTGCTCGCACGTACGCGACGCACAACTGTTGTGTATGTGTGTATATGTGTGAGTGTTTTGGTGTATATATACATCGCGTCATACGCACATATACATAGAAATACGTATATGTGATACAGTGATATGTCGCTAGCACGACACGCCATAGCCATGAATTTGTTGCCTGCACAACACGGACATCCGATGTGCTGACTGTGTTCTTAGTGTAGAGCTTACACTGTAGAAGTAAATGCACATGTGTGAGAGTGTGTATCTGCCAAAAGGCGCACGCATACATATGAGAGCGAGAGCGTGCGCGCATGAACTCAAAAATGTGTACAATAGTAAACGGCAAGAAGCCCAATTGCCAATTGGCATCACTGAAATAAGCTAGTATGTACAATGAATCGGAATTTGACAGATCTGAGTGTTTCAATTTTTTTACACCGTAACATTTGTATTATTTATACTACTTCATATCCTTTACTTGAATTATATTATTGTAAATTATTTAAATAATTCTACATTTGTACTACACAATATATAATAATCATATATAGAATGCAAATAACTTATATCTCATTTTTAAATTTTAAATGTTATAGCCTAGTAATATCAATATACAATATCCAATTGTCCATTTCCATAGATACATATGTACATACATATATGTACGGATGTAGAAACATCCCTGTTACATTGGCTATCTGCATGTGCACATTTACCACTGGGTCGTCAGTGCTGCTGACTATTTGACGTGCCTGCTTTTTTTCCTTTTCTTCTTTTTGTTTGGTTTTGCTTTTACGCTACTTTGCTTTGCGCACCGCTCATTTTCATCATTCTGTAGCCGAACGTTGCCGCGTCAAGTTACGCTTACGCTAAACATTCTTCGGTGTTGTTGGCCACACATATTGAGCGTCGCTCGGTACGTGTCTTTGCTCTGTGCTCTGTGTGTGCGTGTCTCTGTGTATGTCCGTCTCTGTTCATGTGTGTATTTTGTGCAGGCGACAAAGACGTAGAAAAAAACTGAAGCGTACGTGTATGTATAATACGTGCATACATACATGTGCAGCTGCGTGTTTATGTGTGCGTGCGCCGCAGCGCAATAGAAAAAATATTTAAAAACAATCAAACTACTTTTTTTTTGACAGTGTACGGAAAAAAACAAAGTTTAGAAAAATAAATAAATTTTTTTTTTGTATTTTTTGCTGGCCATGTGTGTGTGCAGCAGCGAAAATCAATAACAAAGCGCAAGACGCTAACAGCAGCAGATTAAAAGAAAAAGAAAAAAAATTGAAAAACAAGTTTTTGCAGACGGACATGGCTATAGCGTGTCAGCTAGTCGTGCTGAACAAGAATATATATTCTCTGTGCTTCAAACAAATTTATAAGAAGTAATTTACATATGTRTATGTGTGTAGATGCATGTGTATAAAATGCCGGAGCGCAATGATAAAAACGACAACAATTCGCCGGTACAACAAAAGCAACARCAACAAAAACAACAAGAGCAGCAGCAAGCGGCGCCATTGTTAAACAATTATCGATATTTGTTATCGACAAGCAATTAATCAAGCGCTTGACAGAAAACCAATTCTCGTTCTTTCTACTCCGTGTGTGCGTGTGTGCGTTTGTCTCGTGTGTGCGTTTTTTTTTTGTTCTTGTGCATTTGTGCGCGCAGCGACGCTGACGCCAAAAAGTGGGTCGAGTTGCGCGCGTAAATTTGGGTCGCAGCAGCCGCAGTCACCGTCGCTGTCGACGCCGTCGTCGTCGTTGCAGTGCATTCCATTCGACTTCCAGTTGAACTACTAGAAATCTACACAGCACATATACAAACACACCCACCCCCACCCCCTCACAAGAGCAACAACTGCAACTACAGCAATCCCAACCCCAACGAGATGTCGCTGCAAACGAAGAGGCAGCACTGCTACCTCTGCGATCTGCCCCGCATGCCCTGGGCCATGATCAATGACTTCTCGGAGGCCGTGTGCCGCGGCTGCGTCAACTACGAGGGCGCCGACCGCATCGAGGTGGTGCTGGACGCGGCCAGGCAGATGAAGCGGCTGCATCCGAGCAGCAAGCGCGCCCACGAGAACGGCGAAGTCGTCGTCCTGCAGCAGCAGCAGAGTCTGCAGCAGCAGCAGCTGAGTGGCGGGCCACAGCATCGTGGCGCTCCGAGCACATCGACAGGTGGGGGGCCAGGGCCGTTGTCGCTGTCACATCATCATGCCGTGGCGGCCGCTTATCAGATGCCGCGCATCGGTCCGCCGCCGCCGCCGCCACAGCAGCAGCAGCAACAGAGCAGCGGCGTSATGGACTTTCCAGTTAAGTTGGAGTCGGCGCCGGATGTGCGACCGGTGCGCATCTCCCATATGACGCCCCACCATATGCCGCCCACAGCCGGCCAGCGTGCCGGACCTGGACCCGGTCCCGTTACACAGCAGCAACAGCCGCCCGTTGGCAGCGGCGTCAGCGCCTCAGCTCTGCTGCCCGCCCTCTCCGTCAACTTGAAGCGTCCGCCCTCCGAGGACGTGGACATTGAATCACAGCAGCAGCAATCGCACGGGCCACCGCACGTTGGCGTCGGCGTCGGCGTCAGCGTTGCCGATCTCGCTGCCGGCAGCAGCAGCGTCGGCGTCGGCCCCTCCAGCGTCAAGCGCAGCGCCCTCGATGATCCCAACGGCGTGCGGCCGCCCTTGACACGGGGCGAATCGCTGCCCGCGGTCAGCTACGTGCCCGAGCGGCAGCTCAACTTGCGCGACAAGCAGCAGCCGGTGCGGGCGCCCAGCTTCGATGCGTCGACCTTCAAGGCAGCCGGTGAGTTATGCAACAACGACTGACTAGTCGAATACCCTGTAGAATAGGAGAAACTGAAACTAAAACTAGGCAGACAAGTCTCTACTCTAGCAGAGTAGATGTGTGTAGTGTGGTTAAGCAACTACTAAGTAATACCCTGTAAAAATTCATAACATGAAAATCTGTGTCAAATTGTTAATTTATGTATCATAGTACATTCCGGCACTCTTAGTAGCTGTTAAAGTTGTTAGCTGACTAATAGGCAGCCAATGCGTAATACCCTATAAAACCAACTTCATGCCTTGGTATTTTATTGGCACTTTATTTTGAGTACCTACTCCAATCGACAACTGTAAAACATGAAGTTAGTAAGCAGTGACTGTGCGATACCCTGTAAAAAGTGTGAGAAATTTGTTGGCCATTTCATGCATGCCTTGGTATTTAAAGTATCTTGAACACGTTAGCAAGCAGCGACTGCGCCATACCCTGTTAGTTGGTGCCAAAAAAAAAAAAAAAAAAGTACCGCAAGTATTTGTTCATGGCAAATTCGGAGAATAGCTGTAAATGGCATGCTGTGTTAACAGTGGAACAAAGGCAGCTTTATTCAAATAAAATTCTCCATTATCTATAAACACATTTATTTATATACATATACATATATGTATACTACATACATACATATTTTATGAAACATATGTCTTCAGCTCTGATTTCAAATTTTTCAATTTTAACATCTTTCAAAATGTTTCCAATGAACATCGAGAAACATGCAAAAGCTTCGATTCCGTGTGTATGCACACATACACACGTACACATATGTGTATACATGTGTGTGTGTGTGTGTACCGTTGGAAGATAAGCTCCGCTGCGAACTGGCACACAAAATCCCAAGCCGAGTGAGCGAGCGTGATTGTCGCTTATCAGAACGAAAGCGAGACAGAGAGAAAGAGAGAGAGGGATGATAGATAGACAGACAGACTAGGCGCAAGGGTGAGTGCAACAGAGAGAGAGAGAGAGAGAGAGAGAGAGTGGGGGCACAGGAAGAGATAGCAGATAGGAAGAAATAAGTTTTGCTTATCAGTCGAGCAGCAGCGCGACTATTGGCTGATAACTGGCAGCGCAGCGTCGTCAACAGTAGATTAGATAACGGAACCGTCGTCTATATATGCATATATATATATATAAATAAATA